GAACATTGAACAAGAAGCTACAAAGTTTCAAAAAAAAAAAAAAAAAAAAAGAACAAGAAGCTACAACACAACCTTTCACTTTTTATCTCTCTCTCCCCACCGTTTGTATCTTTGTGGATTTGTCAACGCTCTCTAAAAGAGGACCTCAAGAAGCTTCTTCTTCTCTCTTTCCCATTTGCTACATTTATAAAAGAAACATTCTTCACCATTACATTCTCACTTTTCTTGTCTCTACTTCACTTCAAGAATTGCCTCTCTCTTTCTCTCTCACTTCCACACTCTGTTTCTTGATCTCCCCAAGATAACATGAAATTCTCAGCTGGTAAAAGAAAGTCACGAGATCAAGAACAAGAAGACTATACAGTAACCTTATCTGACCTAAACGACGACGTCCTCGAGAGAATCCTCTCATGGCTACCAACTTCTTGTTACTTCCGCATGACATCCGTCTGCAAGAGATGGAAGTCCACTCAAACTTCAAGAACCTTCAAGCTCGCTTGCTCTCAAGTCCCTTCTCGTGATCCTTGGTTCTTCATGATCCCTAACCACTCCACTTCCTCTTCTTTCCTCTACGATTCAACAGAAAACAGCTGGAAAAACCTCCTCCACCGCCCTGATCTCACCCCCGTAGCTTCCTCCGGCGGTTTGCTCTGTTTCCGCTGCTCTGTTTCCGGTGACTTCCTCCTCCGTAACCCTCTCACAGGCTCCTCACTTAACCTTCCTTGTCAAGACTCTAAAGATGATAACAAAACTCTCCAAGCTGTAGCCATGAGGACTCTCACTCCCTTTAGCTACAAGCTTGTCACAATCTCTGGTGACATACCAAATCTCTGTTTCAAGTTCTACGAGTCAAGTTCTTGTTCTTGGAGCAAAGAGTTTGAGTTAGTGAAGAAGAACAACGATGAGTACAATGATGATGATGAAACAGTTTACTTTCTTAGCAAGACAGGGAACGTTGTTGTAGCTAGTAACACTCTCCAAAGAAGTCCTTTGAAGCAGTACTCTTCAGTTATAACAGTTAAAGACAATGTAGAAACAGTTTACTTTCTTAGCTCTCACGGAACAATCATAGCTTGTGACCTAAACAAAAGATGTTTCACTCAACTTCCCAAGCTTCTTCCACCGTTTCTTGAGTATTCCATTGACTTGGTGGAATGTAATGGGACCATGTATGTGATTATTCTCTCTGAGTTTTATGAAAGTGCTAGCTTGAGGATATGGAAGCTAGAGAACATGAACTGGGTTCATGTTGGGATGTTGCCTCCTGCTATGTCTCATGAGTTGTATGGGAGGAAAAGTGACATAAACTGTGTTGGAGGAGGTGGGAATAAGATACTTGTGTGCTTTAATGGGAATCTTCCTGAGGTGTGTTATAGATACTTTGTGTATGATTTAGTTGGAGAAGAGTGGAGTGAGTTGCCAAGATGCTTCAGTGATGGTGAAGCTGTGGAGTTTGTTTCAGCACTTTCTTTCCAGCCTAGGGTTGAAGCAACAGTTTGAAGTTTTGGTTTAGGTTTCAGTGATTGTTTTGTTTGTGTATTCTTTTGAGTAATAATGCAATGTAACTTGACTTATATTCATTTTTATGGATTAGCTTTGAAGCTTTGCTTGCATGGTATGTTAATAGTGTTGTTCTTTTTAAAGCTGAAAGATGCAAACTTGCATGTCAAGGAACTCATAATGGGAAACTATAGAATATCCATGCTGGTTCTTGACGCTGCACAAGATGGTTTAGTAACTGGTTATTGCATAATGATGTGTGTTTCGGTTAGTACGGTTAAACAAATTACTGATGATTGTTGTGAATATCAATAACACCAGTGATTCACCAGATAACTACATCAAGTAGGTGAAGAAGTTAGAGCAACATTGCTACAAGAATCTGGTAGACGTTTTCAAAAAGAGAAATTAAATGAGAAATAACAATAATATGTTGTTGGGTATCTCACCATACCTATAGTTAAACAGGGTATCTCACCATACCCATAGTTTTTTCTTTTCTGGACAACACCATACCTATAGTTAAGCAATAGTTTTTAGAAAATATTATACCCACAAGCAGTTTTAAGTTTTTATTAACACTAAAAGACAGTTTGCTCCTCGGACACTTTTTTGTAACAACTCCCTTTTTTCTCCTAACAATCTGTTGATGTTAACTAAACTTTCGTTTAACCAAACCACACAATTAGCGGGAAACTACCCCAACCGTCCATCTCTTACGTATCAACGGCCCATGTTAGATCCAAATTTGGTTGACAAGACGGATATCTGTCTACTTTCCTAACCATTCGATCTCCTTATTCACTTGGATTATCTACGGTCCAGATTATCTTATTTCTCAAAATCTAATTTCCTTTCTTCATCTTCTTCGTTTTTGACGTGATTCACTTTTCGTTTTCCAGTTTTTAAAGTGGTGACTACACTATTTTATTTTCTTCATTTATATACTTTATTTTATTTTTGAAACACTTAGTTTTTATATACATATACACATGAAATAAGAACCCAAATTGAGAAATCTCCATTTGAAGTGCTCAGAGCATCTCCAATCCATAACATTATTTTTGTGTTAAAACTACACTATTTTAGTGTAATTTCAGCACTAAAAATAAGTTCATCTCCAACCACAACTCTAAACTTAACATTAAAAGCTATTTTATAATATTATATGTATTTATATGTTTATTTATTATTTATTTAATTGTGTAATTTATTAATAAAATAAATGAATAGTATTTTAGTAGGATAAATAGTGTTTTAGTGTGGTGAATAGTATCATATGAAATTGTAGTGTTGCATATAAAATAGTGTGAAGTTTAGTGTTAGATTGGAAAAAAATTTTGTGTTAAAATCACGCTAAAATAGAGTTTTAGGGTTGAAGATGACCTCAAGCATCTAGACACTTTTATAATAACATCTAACTAGTATAATATCTGCACAATATTATTAGTTTTGAGCTTTGACACTAATTTGACAGTGCATTTGGGGATAGTTTTAATTTATCTTTTTCATGGAATTAAAAACCGTTATCGTATATATTAAGGACAAATATTAAAAGAGAAAATGATTAAAATAGCACTAAAATTTATTTTATCACAAATATATCACTTGAGAATAAAAATGACCAAAATAACACTTAATGTTTTATTAATTTATCTTTTAATTTTTTTGTTTAGAGTTGAGGAGTGGGGTTTTAGGGATAGGATTTTAAATTTTAAAAACTAAAAAAGACTTACAATTTTTAAAATAAAAAGTGCTATTGACCATTTTAATTTTTGAAGTTTTTTTGCAATAAAAACTTAAAAGAGTGCTATTCGAAAGAATTGTCCATATTAAAACCAGTATTGTCGTTTCTAGTATTTATTAAAGAATGGAGACAAAATAATCATTAAAATATTTGTTTCTCTTAAAGTCATATACATACTACCTCTATACACCGAATTATAAAATCCTTCAAACAAATCTTCTCTCTCTCACAAGAAGCCAAAAAGTGTAGAGTAGAGATATGTCGTTGTTATCTTACCTAAGCCCGACACGCTTTCTAGAAGGTTACCTCCGTCGCTGCCTCACCGCAGCAGGACTAACGTTGCAGACTGTTTCCATAGATTCTGAAACAACCATCCACTTCTGGGGTCCACTACCTCTAGACCACCGCACCGACAACAGACCAGTGATGCTTCTCCTACATGGCTTTGGTCCATCCTCCATGTGGCAGTGGCGCCGACAGATTCAAGCCTTCTCTCCATCCTTTCGGCTATATTGTCCTGATCTTGTTTTCTTCGGTGACTCAGCCACTTCCTCCACTAATCGCTCTGAGGTCTTCCAGGTATATATATATATATATATAAACGTTGTAACTATCTCTATAGTATATAAGCTGTTTTGATTGTAAATGAACGAGATCATCTCTAGGAAGATAGGATACATCTTACTAGAACCTTATGTCACACTGATCACTTGTTCTTTTTCTGGTCACTTGATTAGTGTTTGTTATGTTAAAAATAAAAAGTATTGATATGTTAAAAATAATTTACATATATTTTTAAGGGAGTATTTTTTATTTATTCCAGATTAATATTAATTATATTTTATTCAGACTACATTTACATTTTAGTAATCATTTCAATCTAAACTATAAGTTGAACTAGGTTTAGGCATTCATGTTCTCATGTCGGATCCGGATATATAAGTACATGTAATCCGATTCGGTTTCAGATCAATTCTAACCAATCATGGTTAACATTAGATGCATATACATTTAGTAATAATTTCAATGCAAACTATAGTTGAACTAGGTTTGGGTATTCAGATCCGGGTCTATATAAGTACCTGCAATATTTTTATTCGATTTCAGATCAGTTTTAACCAGATCCTGGTCGGTTCAAATCAAAAATTAGATACCTATAAAGTATCGGTAAATTTTGGTTTGGGTTCGGGTGGGTTAGCTTTAGACATTGATATGTTAGCCCTTTACACCTAAACGATTTGAACTCTTTGTGGTATACTAAACACATGCATATTTTAATGCTCAAATAATAATAAAAATAAAAAGGCGGAGTGCATGGAAAAGCTAATGGAGAAAATAGGTATAGAGAAGTTTAATGTGGTTGGAACAAGCTACGGAGGATTTGTAGCTTACCATATGGCCAAAATGTGCCCGGAAAAAGTGGAGAAAGTATTGATTGCTAGCTCAGGAATCAACATGAGAAAGTGTGACAGTGAAAGCTTATTGCAACGATCGAACTGTGAGTGTATTGAGAAAGTTATGTTACCATCAACAGCCACAGAACTTCGGACACTTATGGGTTTAGCGTCTTCTTCGAGGATAGTTCGTATGTTTCCCAATGCTCTCTGGAACGACGTTATTACAGTAAGTATTGTCTTCTTCTGCTCTTTTTTGGCTTTGTGGAAAATAAGAATGATAAAACGATGAAAAATAATTATGAATTTTCCTTTGGTATAATATATGCAGAATTTATATCAGAATAATAGAAAGGAGAAAGTAGAATTATTGAAAGGGGTGACTCTTGGCAGGGACGAGAAATTAAACATTGATCCCCTTTCTCAGGTACGTAAGTGAACCTTTTTTTTGTAGTCCTGATGTAATTATAAACATGTCACAAAGATTTTCCAAATCAAACGTTATTTACTCCTAACATTAATATGTGTACTTAACTGGAGATCATCTGATTAACGGTAAAGTGTTTATATTCTCTTAGGAAGTCCTTATAATTTGGGGAGACAAAGATCAAATATTTCCTGTGAAGATGGCCTACGAACTAAAAGAGTAAGTAGAAGAGTGTTTTCTTGTTCAAGCTTTATCGTATATTAACTAACTGTAATCGTGTCATTACCATTCTTAAGCATACTGTCTAAATGATTGCAATTGTTGGTATCTGTGTGTAGGATTCTTGGAGATAAGACAAAACTGGAAATCATTGAGAACACTTCACATGTTCCACAGATCGAATGTGCGCAAGAATTCAACAATATCGTTTTGAAATTTCTAAAGGGATCTCAATAGCGTTAATTATACATTCCCGACATGATTCTTAAGCGTGTTTAGTAGTAAACATTTGAACTAGTAGTAGTTTACGTAGTATTGCTACGTACATTGCTTGCTATACTTTCTTATGTTTTTCATATTGGTAAGACTAAATTTGAAATTATTAAGGATACTTACCATGTTCCCCAGATGCAATGTCCGTAAGAGTTCAACAATATCATTTTTGATATAATTATATTTACTTTGTGGATCCAATTTCTCGGTGTTCGAACACCAAAATATTAGGGATAATTATTTAAAAACCGAAATTTTAAATTGTCATGTAATAATTGAAATTGGTTCCAAAATGTGATTTGGTGACTTCGGTCACCAATAAAAGCATTAAGCGGTCAAAGTTGGTGGTTTGCCAAACTGCCAAAATCACGAAACACAAATTACTCAAAAGTATTCATCACTTTGTCTACGTTAACAAAAAGTATCATCATTTATCAACATAGTTGTTAGCAAGCGACTCTAGTAAGAAAAACTCAAATGTGTAATGACATGATAATATTCAGAACTTCAACGAATTATGAGAATTAATTAACTTAATATTCACAAAGATGTTCTACCATTTACAGTCCCCCCTAAAAGAAAAGGAGAAACTGAAAAAAGTTTTACAACAACAAATATTTCGCCTACAACATGTAGTAAAATTCTACAGCTACCAAAAAATCTAAGCTTCCACTAGAGAAATTTGCAATACCAAATGATTTTTCTAACTTCCACTGATGCCTAATCAAATGATCTCCTTTGAGTCTGAAACTGTGGAGGGTTTCTTCAAAAGGGATTGTGCACAAGTATATTCCGATACAAACTTTGGTGGTTCTATTTCTGATGGGTCTAAAACTGGAATAGCCTTATCTATATCTTCTGCCGAGAAAGGAATGCTGCATACACACACACAGACACAACTATATATTAGTCTGTATAATGCAGACAACTTAAGTTACGTCCACGTTATCAGAGAGAAACTTGATTAATTAGATATTCTCAACCCTCAATTCTTAACCAAACCAAACACTCGAACTGCTAAAAACTTCTTTCAGTCTACAAGGATTC